AAGGGTATCTTGGTACAGACCTACAATCAACTTTCGACAACCTCTACTAGTGAGAACGGCTGGATTTGAGAGGGACCTGTCCTCCCAACATCTGAGTTTTTATCTCTCCTAGTGACCTACGTCTCACCTCTTGGCGCTATATAACGCTCGATCCTGTCACTTCATCTCTATATTGTTTCATACCATGGAACAATGCTCTTCTCCAGACTGAGGGACTGACCACCTCAAAACTTTAAGGGTGATGGACTGATTACATCGTCTTCAAGTATCTTCTGCTTCTATCAACTTTTATGTACTCGACTGAAGAAGCCTACTGTGTAGGCGAAACGTTTCGAAATAAAGATACCTAACTGTTGCATATGTGTCTTACCTAACAACCTTGTATTGTGCCAAAACAAAAGCATTCACATTGCTAAACTCACAAATTATGATGTAGTCACTTAGCCTTAATACCATAATCTGTAAGGATTTAATGTTAAGAATTAATCTAAGTCTGCTCGAAATGCCTAGCCATGCTAGGTGTCCTAGTGGCCCCCTCTGTAATTAATATTTTATAATATGTAAACCACAAAATACCTAAAACCTGTAAACCCCACATTGTAACCATTATAGAGAATAAACTTGAATTGAATTGAATTGACTTATTGGTCTAAGCAAAGGCATTCTCACGAGTCCCACTGGTGAGGGAAAGATGGCAGACCAGAGGCCTAGCTTCTCCCTACTAGCCCCCTGAGTGAGGGGAATGGGGCTAGGCCTGGGGACAGTTGGTCCCAGAAGATGAGAAAGTACTTGCATCTCCTCTCATGGCAGACATAGGTCTCAGACACTCCCAAGACAGGGAGCCAAGGTCAGGCCACCATCTGGAAAAGGCCCGGGCCGGGAGAGTACCAGCGAATCAAGAAGCCAAAGGCAAGATTGTGTTCACGTGGTCACTCATCTGGTTACTATGCAGACCTAGTAGTAGTGCTTACTTGATCTGCATGTATAATCTCAGACAAACGTTTATTCACCGAGACAGTGTGTTAAACGCAAGTCATGCATATATCATTTTTAAAATACCAGCCGTCTCCCACTGAGGTTGGATAACAATCAGAGCTTATTTATTTCTTGGGTAGCATTGAAAATTAGGTTGGGCAGATGTTTTGTTAGTGGGATGGATTTTAAAGGACCTGCCTAGTATGGGCCAAGAGGCCTGCTGCAGTGATCCTCCTTTCTTATGTTCTTATGTAAAAAGGAAGAAACACATTTACTATCATTCATTAAGTGACTGTCTTGCCAGACTCGTGCTGACATCACAGTTCATATGACCCTCAGAGTTGCAGCATCCCCACTTTTTTTCAGAGTTAAGGCACTATATTTACCACATCCAGGACTCGACTCCGGCTAACTGGTTTCCCTTGTAACACACAAACGTTACCTTACTCACACACCAGCACGTCAATATTGCAAGTGTAATACTATATTATTATATGTAGGGTAAGCTGTAAAGCCGTAGGGAGTCATATAATACCTGGGGAATGGGCGCAATAAGGTTTGAGCCAAGGAAGGGAGGTTAGAAACAATTGCTTGCATCAAGAGCCCTCATACACAAATAACCCGCACATAAAAGAGAGAAGCTTACGACGACGTTTCGGTCCGACTTGGACCATTCACAAAGTCACACACAGTGTGACTGTCAATGGTCCAAGTCGGACCGAAACGTCGTCGTAAGCTTCTCTCTTTTATGTGCGGGTTATTTGTGTATTGGTATTGTTCCAGTCACGGTATTGTGCCTTTTTGTTATTTAAGAGCCCTCATAGTCATCAAGGACCCTATGATACTCCAATACTGAAACTATGTACTGTGCCAAAACAAAAGCATTCACATTGCTAAACTCACAAACTAGTATTTAGTCACTTAGCCATAATACCAACTTACCTCATAATTTGTAATATTTTAAAATAAAGAATTAAACTAAGTCTGCCCGAAATGCCTAGCCATGCTAGGCGTTCTAGTGGTACACTGTAATTATTATTTAACTACATGTAAACCACACAATAACCAAATTCTGTAAATTCAACATTGTAATCCTTATAGAGAATAAACTTTGAATAAAATATAGGATATACTGAGCATATCCAGGACTAGGAGGGTGCCAGCGGCATGAACTTTGTTTTATTACTTAATATCTTGTAGTTACTATTTGCTCTTATACAACAGCACCGACTATAACTGTTGCTAGTGTCTCATGTACAGGAAAATTGGCAGAGTAAGGAAATTCTTAGAATTTTGATGAGGGACAATTGCAACACGTCATAATGACGTCAGGAGAGGTTGTCACATCTACCATCACACCCACACAGCATAACAAGCCAAATAACCAGAACTAGCCAACGCAGTATGTATTTATGCATAAACAAGTAAAGAAACAAACTCAAGGAAGAGAAAGGGAGGGTGGATAATAAAGTTAGAAGATGATAAATAAGTAGGTTTTGGCAAGATGGGGTGGATTGCGTAGCTTAACATGAGGGTGGCGGCGCCGTCACCCAGCCACCGTAGCCACGCTCGCACGCACCGGGAGGCCTCACTGATTTCTTTTGAGCTGTGACCAAATTCCATGTGTTTTAGGTCCCTTCCATCCCAAAAGCCATGAAGATCTGGACGTCGGAACACGTATTTAGGTAAGCAGCATCGTGGAAAGTGTGATTTGACGCTCCTGGGAGGAGAAACAGGTTGCTTTAACCCGGCACCGCCACCTCTGATGATCCACTGGGAATCATATGGAATATTCCAGTCCAGCCTGGACGTTGAACAGTACGACCACATAAAGTTGTTGTTTATTGTTGTCTGGAAATATTTTTATAGACATTACTTCAGGATACCAGGAAATGTGTGTTCGATACCTTCCGTGTCCTTGTACTAACTAATCCCTCAATGAAAACGGGAACTAGCAAATTACTTCAAGGTTTCGTTACCTTGAGATCATTTTGGACTTGGTCATCACTTGAGTACAAATTAATCACTTCTAGGGTTGTTGGCTTCTCTCTTCTTGGAACGCGGAGATAAATGAATATTTATAAATGGAGAATATAGTGAGGTTTACTTAGGACACGCACTTTACCCGCGTTAAAGTGGTTGCGTCATTCAATAATTAGGATATAGTTTATTACTATTACTCGGAGAAACTCGGGCATTAATTTACATTTTACATGACATATAACTTACGTACACCAAGACGTAAGTAAGTATTTCTTGTGCAAATTGCTATTTTGGGAGATATAAACATAGTCACTGTGACGTTTTTTGGGTTATCCTAGGTTCTCTGCACATATGCTGCTATGTATGATAATTCTATGTAACTGTATTTGTGTATACCTGAATAAACTTATTTATGTTCCTTGTGGATTAGTTGGCAGTGCACTCAGCTTGGTGTTGGGCAACTGTTGTGAGTTGCATTCTGGGGGTGGTAGCATACCTTAGGCCTACATTTTGCAGTAAGCTGAAGTAGGATAGCAGTTCTTAGCCTGTAAAATTTATTTGTATAAAAATATTTATTTTGGTTGCACACCACTGAGCCAATCAAGTCTTAATATTGAGTCTTGGCATGCACCTGTAAACAAAACACATGACTACCAATGACAGGGTACCTTTACCTTAGGAGTCGGAGTCACGCCCCGCGTGAGGGGTAAGGCTACATTTGGTTATTTTAGGTTGGGGTAAGCGGTTCTGTTGGGTTATGTATTTTTACCATTTGCATAACAAAATATCTCGAATGTACAACCAACTTAATGTTGTATAACTCAAACTTTAATGGCCGCTGAATAGTAGTCATGAACTTGACTAAATAATAAAAAAAAACATATAGTTATGTATATATATGAAGGGCCATTTTGTTAACCTATGGCCTGGTTAGCAATGCTTTCGCATCACACTGAGTGTCCATGGTTTGATCCCCCAACATGGGTGGAAACATTAGGCATGTTCCTTAAACCTGCTGTCTCTGTTCACCTAGCAGTAAGTTGGTACTTGGGTGTTAGTCGACTGTTATGAGCCATATCCTGGGGACAAGATTGAAAGGCCCCAATGGATATAAGACACAGTCCCACAGTCCTTGATAATGCAATGACTTTCAGGTTATCCAGGGTGACTAATGCTCTTGTGTTAAAAATCCAAACAAATCTTATCTTAATAATTAACTGGAATATATTTGGGCCAGTAGGCCTACTGTAGTGCCTGTCTATTTTTTTTATGAGTTTAACACTATATAAATACAATAAAAGTGATTGCAAGAGAATCGAAGACTAACCCAAAAGGATTCTTTCAGGTATACAGAAGTAAGATCAGGGACAAGATAGGCCCACTCAAAAGTTCCTCGGGTCAGCTCACTGACAGTGATAAGGAAATGTGTAGAATTTTTAACACATACTTCCTCTCAGTTTTTACACAGGAGGATACCAGAGATATTCCAGAAATGATAAATTATGTAGAACAGGACGATAATAAACTGTGCACAATTAGGGTCACAAGTGACATGGTCCTTAGGCAAATAGATAAATTAAAACCTGACAAATCCCCAGGCCCTGATGAACTGTATGCAAGGGTTCTAAAGGAATGTAAAGAGGAGCTTAGCAAACCTTTGGCTAATCTTTTCAACATATCACTACAAACTGGCATGGTGCCAGATAAGTGGAAAATGGCAAATGTGATACCTATTTTCAAAGCAGGTGACAGGTCCTTAGCTTCGAACTATAGACCAATAAGCCTAACCTCCATAGTGGGAAAATTTATGGAATCAATAATTGCCGAGGCAGTTCGTAGCCACCTCGAGAAAGCATAAATTCAGCCTTACGAATTTATTAACTTTTTTCACTAAGGTATTTGAGGAGGTAGATCATGGTAATGAATATGATATTGTGTATATGGACTTCAGTTAGGCTTTTGACAGGGTCCCACATCAGAGACTATTGAGGAAAATTAAGGCACATGGAATAGGAGGAGAAATTTTTTCCTGGATAGAGGCATGGTTGACAAATAGGCAGCAGAGAGTTTGCATAAATGGGGAGAAATCAGAGTGAGGAAAAGTCATGAGCGGTGTTCCACAGGGGTCAGCGTTGGGCCCCCTGCTGTTCACAATCTACATAAATGACATAGATGAGGGCATAAAGAGCGACATCAGCAAGTTTGCCGATGACACCAAAATAGGCCATCGAATTCATTGACGAGGACATTAGAGCACTCCAGGAAGATTTGAATAGACTGATGCGGTGGTCGGAGAAGTGGCAGATACAGTTTAATATAGACAAATGCAAAGTTCCAAATGTTGGACAGGACAATAACCATGCCACATATAAACTAAATAATGTAGATCTTAATATTACGGATTGCGAAAAAGATTTAGGAGTTCTGGTTAGCAGTAATCTGAAACCAAGACAACAGTGCATAAGTGTTCGCAATAAAGCTAATAGAATCCTTGGCTTCATATCAAGAAGCATAAATAATAGGAGTCCTCAGGTTGTTCTTCAACTCTATACATCCTTGGTTAGGCCTCATTTAGATTATGCTGCACACTTTTGGTCACCGTATTACAGAATGGATATGAATGCTCTGGAAAATGTACAAAGGAGGATGACAAAGTTGATCCCATGTATCAGAAACCTTCCCTATGAGGATAGACTAAGGGCCCTGAATCTGCACTCTCTAGAAAGACGTAGAATTAGGGGGGATATGATTGAGGTGTATAAATGGAAGACAGGAATAAATAAAGGGGATGTAAACAGTGTGCTGAAAATATCTAGCCTAGACAGGACTCGCAGCAGTGGTTTTAAGTTGGAAAAATTCAGATTCAGGAAGGATATAGGAAAGTACTGGTTTGGTAATAGAGTTGTGGATGAGTGGAACAAACTCCCAAGTACAGTTATAGAGGCCAGAACGTTGTGTAGCTTTAAAAATAGGTTGGATAAATACATGAGTGGATGTGGGTATGTGTGAGTTGGACCTGATAGCTTGTGCTACCAGGTCAGTTGCCGTGTTCCTCCTTTAAGTCAATGTGACCTGACCTGACTAGATTGGGTGCATTGGCTTAAGCCGGTAGGAGACTTGGACCTGCCTCGCATGGGCCAGTAGGCCTTCTGCAGTGTTCCTTCATTCTTATGTTCTTAAATACTGTTTTAGGCCTGCTGCAGTGTTCCTTCGTTCTTATGTTCTTAAATACTGTTTAATATATTTTAAACTGGTTCTCTTAGACTAGTTAAAGTTAGCCAAGAATGAAAACTATTCAGAGTATTAACTCGGAGGGTTAGTAACCATGGATAAAACAATAAAAATCACAGTGGCTGATTTCCGTTGGGATCTTTAGATCATCTTCCCCAGTATGCAACATATAAGAGTTGATTAATACTGCTTAAGACTATCCATTTAAGATTACATGTTGGTAGATTGTAACATGAAAAACAAGTTCTTGTTTCTTGAGGAATAGAAGTGAGAGCATGTGAATGAATGAATGGAAGCTTTTTATTTAAGCAGTGTGTAATACACAAGAAATTTATTTTTGCTGTGGTCATTAGGACACCAGTAAAGGGTTAAGCACAAAGAAAGCCACTAGCATGCATGAGCATTTCAGACAATCTATTCTTAATGCTTATAGACTACTAAAAACTAGACATAAGTTATGGAGTGGTAAATATTAATAGTGTACTATTACAAAAAAGACTTGCTAAAAATTACAATTAGAAAAAATTACCTTAAATACAATTAGTATAGTTTTAGGTGTGTATTAATACTTTAAAATTATTTAGCAATCTTAAGTTAATTAGAATTCTTGAGTAGTTTTATAATTTCAGGCTATGAAAGATTATACAGTATAAGAGACGAAGAAACTGAAGTATAATTGAATGAGTTGGTTTTGTTTGGTATAGCTTAGTGTTGGTATAATTAAGTTTGGGAGAGGAAGTGATTTTTAATTATATAGTTTTAAGTTGATGGCAGGCAGGGGACCTTTTGCTGGTTTGGGCAAAGAATTCTAGATCTTGGGACCCTTTATATGCATTACATTTTTGCATAGGGTGAGGTAGACATTAGGGATGTCAAAGAGAGTTTTGTGCCTTGTGTTGTGCCTGTGTGTTCTGTTGTAGATATCTTCTTTCAACAAAACGGCCATATCCCACCGAAGCAGGGTGGCCCAGAAAAGAAAAACAAAAGTTTCTCTTTTTGACTTTAGTAATATGTACAGGAGAAGAGGTTACTATCCCCTTGCTCCTGGCATTTTAGTCGCCACTTACAACACTCCTGGCTTGCGGAGGAAGAATTCTGTTCCACTTCCCCATGGAGATAAGAGAAAATAAACAAGAACTAATAAGAAATTAGAAGAAAACCCAGAGGGATGTGTGTATATATATATTCACGTACATGCATTTGTAGTGTAACCCAAGTTTAAGTAGAAGTAGCAAGACGTACCTGAAATCTTGCGAATCTTAGGAATGAAAATAGGAGTGAAGGAATGGTAGTGAGTAAATGACCATGAGAGTGAGTGAATGAATGGAAGTGGGAGTGAGTGAATGGTGATCTTGTAATAATTTATCGCTTATAATTGGCTTTCAATTTTTTTTTTATATCTCGCTTGTTTGTGAAACTGCAGGTTTATAAACATAAAGTAAAAATGTAATGAAAGATTTCATGGGAATTTTTATTCTTGTAAAGGTCTCTTGATCCAAGTAATTGGAGCTACCTTTTCCTTGGGTCAAACTTGCTTACATTCAGTTACCCAAGTGCTGTATGAGAAAGTATTATTAAATTCATGGGGAAGCCGAAGACTTAGTCTTCGGCTTCCCCATGAATTTAACCCTTAAATGGTCCAAACAGATCGACGTTCAAATTCGTAGTGCTACAAAAGTAGATCTACTTTTTTTTACATATTTTCAAATATAACAAAAAAAAATTGTAGATAAAAGTTTTTTTTACACGTTTTCAAATGTAAAACAAAAAAGATCTACATTTTTTTACATACTTTCAGATGTTGAAAAAACGTATACTATATACGTTTGGACCATTTAAGGGTTAATAATACTGTACAGTAATGTAATAGGTACTAAAGTTTTGATACGTGTACATATGTTCTTTTTGAACCAGGCCATTAAACATGTTCAAGTGAAACCAATTAGTGTCCCATGAAATACATTACAGTATACATATTGATTTTTTTTTTTTAACAAGTCCGCTGTCTCCCACTGAGGCAGGGTGACCCAAAAAGGAAAGAAAATCCCCAAAAAGAAAATACTTTCATCATTCAACACTTTCACCTCACTCACACATGATCACTGTTTTTGCAGAGGTGCTCAGAACACAACAGTTTAGAAGCGTATACATATAAAGAGAGACAACATATCCCTCCAAACTGCTAATATCCCAAAACCCCTCCTTTAGATTGCAGGCATTGTACTTCCCATTTCCAGGACTCACGTCCGGCTATATAAAAATAACCGGTATAAAAATAAATGTTGATATGTTAATTAAACGTTTTACTGTACTGTATCTGTTATCTTATAAAGTAGATAAATTATTAAGATATGTATTTGTTTAGGTAAATATTTACTGCAGTCTTGAAATATAATACAGTGGAACTTCAAAAATCGAACGTATCACATATCGAACATTTCGAAAATAGGACCATTTTTTCGGACAAACTGTGTCCCTATTATCGAACACGCCCCTATTTTCGGACCGCCGGGTATGGGACCTGTCTGCCGGCCCGCTCTGTCCGCGTCCTCGTGCAGGCGCCGTGAGCAGTCTAGCTTTGTTTATGCTTGAGTGAACACTAACCTGCACTCTCATTCACGCATTTTACGATTATTTCGTTGTGTTTAGTGCTTGTAGGACTGTGAAATAAGCTGCCATGGGCACAAAGAAACTTGCTAGTGGTACCCCTGTGGTAAAGAAAGTGAGAAACACCATAGATGTGAAGAAGGAAATAATACAGAAGTATGAGAGTGGTGTGAGACTTGTTGAGCTTGCCAGGAGGTATGGGAAAAACAAGTCGACCATCGGTTCTATCCTGTCAAAGAAAGAACAAATCAAGGAAGCTGATGTTGCGAAAGGTGTTAATATAGGGAGTGGATGAGGTGCCTTCTTCAAAGATTAAGGAGATTTGTGCCAAGTGGAATGATGTCCAAATGTTTGTGCAGAAGTACCACCCTGAGCAAGCTGAAACAAGCCATCTTTGCAACAAGTTCAGTGACAGAACCATGTCACATTTTAGGGAAATGTTAAAGAGGCACCAGAAACAGGACTGTGGACAGTTATTTTGTGAGACAGGGGTCCAGTGACTCTCAAGCTGGTCCTAGTGGCATTAAAAGACGGAGAAGGGAAGTAACCCCAGAGAGGGCTTTACCTGAAGTCCTCATGGAGGGGGATTCTCCTTCCAAACACTAACCCCAACTCCCTCTCTCCTCCTCCCTATCTTCCAGATGCCATCACCAATCTTCAATAAAGGTAAGTAAAAATTTTATTATATATGTATTACTATACATAATTAAAAACTATGCCCTCCAGCCAGAGGGCCCAAGAAAGAAGACAGAAGAAAGAAGATTAACGACACCCCCAACCGGGGGCCACAGCCGGGTCACCATATGGAGAAGACCCGGGCCGGAAGTACCGGCAAACCTCTAATGAATGAATGAATGAATGAATGAATTAAAAACTATAGCATTGGTTGTATGTAAAACTGTAATTAATCTCTATAAAATGTATTTTTTGTGTGAATATTTTTGGGTTTCTGGAATGGATTAATTGTATTTTCATTATTTCTTATGGGAAATATTGCTTCGAATTTCAGACTTTTCGAATTTAGAACTAACTCCTGGAACGGATTAAGTTCGATTTTTGAGGTTCCACTGTACAGTTTTTAGGCTATACTATAATGCAATTGTTTTTACTTTAGCCATCCTTGGGAAACGGTAACTCAAGCAGTGTGGAGAAAATACCCCAACCCACACAACCCAGCAGTCGTTGGCACAGATGTTGTCGAGCGACAAGTTGTCAATGGCATCTTACATACACACAGACTCATCAGTTCTCGGTGGGGCCTTCCGTCATGGGCACAGACGGTAAGTTTAAAAACTATATTTTACAGTAATTTTGGAAAGGCTCAGTAAATATAAGCTTTATTAGAAATAAATTTCTGTTCTATATGGTAGCTAAATTTTCTAGCAACAATAAGTTACTTTAGCAAGACTTGGAAAATTCTCAAGCACATGTGAAACATCACCATGGTGAAGTGAATCTGTCAAGACAGGTCATTAACATATTTTAGAACAGGATAAGATGAAGAAATGATTTGTAATCTGCATATTACTTTTAGCCATCATTATCTCTTCTTTTTAAACATGACTACTTTCTGTTTGTCATATACTTTTTTTGACCCATGGCATACCCTTCTTAATATTCCTGTTACCTCGCAGATGCATTATACTGTATTTATTGGGCTTAGTCATCTTCCAAGACTGACAGTTCTCTTTTCTCTTGTATTTTGTTGAAAATGAAAGCAAGGGACTTAGTCTTCGGGGTCTTTACAGTATTCACTTGATATCATTTGGGAAACCCCAAAATTTTCACTTCTACGGCCCATGGACAAAAGGGGGGACATTAGGCTTTGATCATATTTTCCCTGTAAAGTTTCAACAGAGTTCTGCGGCAATTGAATTAATCCTTCGCAACCCTTTGTAAATTTTGGTATTCTTTATTATATAGATCTTCATAGTATGTTTTCTATCTTCATGGACAGCTTATATTTTTTAGAAAAAAATTTTAAAAACGACATGGAGGGGAATTTAAAAATGAGCAAATTTTTTATAATTGTTAGGTAGTCAAATTTGATGGTCTGTACAAGATCCCCTTTGGTTGCATTTGTCTGACAGAATAAAACTTTTAAAAGGGTATAAAATACCGAAGTTGTTGGGTTTTATAAACAACAATCTAAAAATCTATCAAAAAACTGTCGGTATTTTATACCATCTTAATGTTAATTTATAATTGTAGGTCTTAGCATGTACAGTAAATCAAACTGTGTAAAAGAAATGACTATTATTACATGTTGTACAGTACTACATAATTTATCCTCCTTTCAACAAACTGGCCATATCCCACCAAGGCAGGGCGACCCAAAAAGAAAAACAGAAGTTTCTCTTTTTAACTTCAGTAATGTATACAGGAGAAGGGATTAATAATTTATCCTTATTGGCTGTAAATAATGGAATTTTTTTTCATTATCTTGTTGAGTAAATGCTAAATTGTGATAGTTTTATTACCTTATTCAGATTTCTTCTTTAGTATGTTAGTATGTATATACAGTGGACCCCGAGTTTCGTGATAAATCTGTTCCAGAGAGCCTGCCGGAAGTCGAAATTCATGAAACTCGAAACTATTTTCCCCATAAGAAATAATGGAAATAAAATTAATCTGTTCCAGACACCCAAAAATATTAAAATAATTTTTTTTTCAAATTAAATAAAGATTTACATACTGAAAACAATCAGAAATCAAGTACATGCATATAAAAAAAAAATATTCACTTGCCTTTATAAGACTTCTGGGGGGGGGTGGAAATGGGAAGGGGATAGGGGAAAAGGGGTCACTCTTTTTTGGAAAGGGGAATTTCCTTTCCCTTAGGACTTCAGGTAGCAAGTCCTTTTCTGGGGGACTTTCCCCTTTTTTTAATGCCAAATGGGGAAAAACTTGAGCCGGACCCCGTCACACAAATATCTGTCCAGAGGGGGGTCTGTTTTGGCATTTTCTTTATGATTTTCCCGAAGTGGGAAAGGTTTAGTCACTGAAATGTTGCAGATATGGTTGTTTCAGCTTGGTCGGGTGTTTCTTTTCAACAAAACTTTGCAACTCATTCCACTTTGAACACATTCCTTAACCCGAAGAAGGCACCTCCTTCACCCCTCTTTTCCCCCTCTGAAGCAGTTCCCCCAGCTGGGCTGATGCTGTTCCAGTTGAAGCTCTTGCAGTTCTTTAGTGGTTAGCTCTTCCCTGTGGTCCTCCACCAACTCTTCCACATCCCCATCACTCGCCTCCAAGCCCATGGACTTGCCCAATGCCACAACACCTTCCACAACAGGCAGAGGGTCGGTAGGGTCAGGGTCTGCCTCAAACCCTTCAAAATCCCTCTGGATCGTGTTCTTCGCTTTCTTTACCAAAGGGCTTGCACTAGCTTTCCTTGGGCCCATGGTGACTTATTTAGCAGTTGCAATCACAAAAAACAACGGATTATTACGTATGAACCCACGGGGTGATGGTCACGTGTTGGTAAACAATGGCACACTGAGCGTGAATGGCGTGGGAGACTGGCTTTGTGTGCGCGGTGACAGGCGGACGGGTACCGGACAGTCGCCGAATCACGAGTCTAATCGCGAAACTCGAGGCCAAATTTTGCCGAAAGTCGATGCTGCCGAAACTCGGGGGTCCACTGTAATTGTATCAGTTCTTTAAGACTTGTGCCAGTTATTCATTTTCTGTTTGTGCCTTAGAGACACTGTTCTATTTCCATATTTAGTCTCCATTATCATAATCCTCATTTAATCAGGTGTTTATATTTTCTACAGTATTGCATGTAGTCCTTTACTAAATAATTTATTTTATATAGATTTTTACTGTACATATATTGTATGCATAGTACTGTGGTTTGTGCTTATTAGCAAATACTGCTGTTTTTTCCACACAAGTACAGAGTAAGCTTGATAAAGCTATACACAGTAAAACATTGTCACAATAAAATCTTGCTTTGTGCTTGTTTTCTTTCTTCATTAATGTTGGCAGGACAACTTTTTCCACTAAAAATTTCTACAGTAGCATAGTTACCGAAGTTTCAGAATACTTATGATGGGGATTCATTCCAACAGACCCACCGTAAGTCGAAATATTGTAAGTGTAATATGAATACAATTTTCTAAATAAATAAATAGCTACTCTCACTGAATAAGTAAAACAAATAATTACTGTAATGAACTAAATACCAGTACTGAAAAGTAAATAAATGAATAAAATTTATCAACTTCTGCCTTCATGCTGGGTAGTTACCTATCTTAAGTTTCATCTTCATAAGTTGAGGAGTACCTGTAATGTATATTGCACAATGCTGTACATATTTCATAAAGTAATATAGTTCAACCTCTTTTTTTCCAGTTTTATCTTGTCTCCATATTACAGTATGTCTTATGGAAACTGTATTAAAATACTTCAGTTTAATCTTGGTCAGGAGGACTACTATACTTGTGTATTCAAAGCGGGAAATGGCCACAGTGATAAACTTTTTCCACTAACCCATCTTTATTTGTACAGTATACACAGTAATAATTTATAAATTTGTTCAGTTTCCTGAATATGTCTTTTTTTTTTTTTCTCTACTTACATACAATTGGCCCAATAAATTCACTGGTCGTTTTTAGAAGCTCTGCAAAAGTAGAAATTGCATATTTGTATGCAGTATTGTAAGACGAAATTAAGTCTGCTTGCTATTTTCTTTATATTTGAGTTTATTTTGTGTTAAACAATACAGTATCTCTCTAATATATCACTATAATCTGAATAATTTTGACAATAATAATGACCAAAATGAAAAGAAATTTGGGCATAGAAAAACCACTGAGAAAAATAATGGTCGAGTTTATTTGCTGGTTGCCCATCAGTAAAAACATTGGATAATCAAAATTAGTGCATATGAAATCTTGCAAATGTTTGAGGACACCTACTTTAGGTCTACTTGTCTTGTTAAAAATATTTAATTTTCCATTTTATTTAAATTACTTTGCTTCATTTTTTTTTCAACAAACCAGCCGCATCCCACCAAGGCAGGTAGCCCAAAAAGAAAAACGAAAGTTTCTCTTTTTAAATTTAGTAATTTATACAGGAGAAGGGGTTACTAGCCCCTTGCTCCTGGCATTTTAGTCGCCTCTTACAACACCCATAGCTTATGGAGGAAGAATTCTGATCCACTTCCCCATGGAGATAAGAGGATATAAACAAGAACAAGAGCTAGAGAGGAAATAGAAGAAAACCCAGAGGGGTGTGTGTATGTATGTATGTATATGTGTGATATATATATATTTTATATATATATATATAATATATTATATATATATATATATATATATATATATAAAATATATTATATATATATATATATATATATATATTATTATATATATATTATTATATATATATTAATATATATATATATATATAATATATATATATATATATATATATTATATATATATATATATATATATTATATATATATATTATATATATATATATACATACATAACAATACACACACACACACACACACACACAAGGTATGATGTAGCACGTAATGAAAGTAGTTTATTAGATTATGTATTGGTTGATGGGTAGGCACCAGGATGTACATGTTTATAGAGGGGCAACTGATATATCGGATCATTATTTAGTTGTAGCTACAGTTAGAGTAAGAGGTAGATGGGAAAAGAGGAAGGTGGCAACAACAAGTAAGAGGGAGGTGAAAGTGTATAAACTAAGGGAGGAGGAAGTTCGGGTGAGATATAAGCGACTATTGGCAGAAAGGTGGGCTAGTGCAAAGATGAGTAGTGGGGGGGTTGAAGAGGGTTGGAATAGTTTTAAAAATGCAGTATTAGAATGTGGGGCAAAAGTTTGTGGGTATAGGAGGGTGGGGGCAGGAGGAAAGAGGAGTGATTGGTGGAATGATGAAGTAAAGGGTGTGATAAAAGAGAAAATGGTAGCTTATGAGAGGTTTTTACAAAGCAGAAGTGTTATAAGAAGAGCAGAGTATATGGAGAGTAAAAGAAAGGTAAAGAGAGTGTGAGAGAGTGCAAAAGGAGAGCAGATGATAGAGTGGGAGAGGCACTGTCAAGAAATTTTAATGAAAATAAGAAAAAAATTTGGAGTGAGCTAAACAAGTTAAGAAAGCCTAGGGAAAATATGGATTTGTCAGTTAAAAACAGAGTAGGGGAGTTAGTAGATGGGGAGATGGAGGTATTGGGTAGATGGCGAGAATATTTTGAGGAACTTTTAAATGTTAAGGAAGAAACAGAGGCAGTAATTTCATGCACTGGTCAGGGAGGTATACCATCATTTAGGAGTGAAGAAGAGCAGAATGTAAGTGTGGGTGAGGTACGTGAGGCATTACGTAAAATGAAAGGGGGTAAAGCAGCTGGAACTGATGGGATCATGACAGAAATGTTAAAAGCAGGGGGGGATATAGTGTTGGAGTGGTTGGTACTTTTGTTTAATAAATGTATGAAAGAGGGGAAGGTACCTAGGGATTGGCAGAGAGCATGTATAGTCCCTTTATATAAAGGGAAAGGGGACAAAAGAGACTGTAAAAATTATAGAGGAATAAGCTTACTGAGTATACCAGGAAAAGTGTACGGTAGGGTTATAATTGAAAGAATTAGAGGTAAGACAGAATGTAGGATTGCGGATGAGCAAGGAGGTTTTAGAGTGGGTAGGGGATGTGTAGATCAGGTGTTTACATTGAAGCATATATGTGAACAGTATTTAGATAAAGATAGGGAAGTTTTTATTGCATTTATGGATTTAGAAAAGGCATATGATAGAGTGGATAGAGGAGCAATGTGGCAGATGTTGCAAGTATATGGAATAGGTGGTAAGTTATTAAATGCTGTAAAGAGTTTTTATGAGGATAGTGAGGCTCAGGTTAGGGTGTGTAGAAGAGAGGGAGACTACTTCCCGGTAAAAGTTGGTCTTAGACAGGGATGTGTAATGTCACCATGGTTGTTTAATATATTTATAGATGGGGTTGTAAAGGAAGTAAATGCTAGGGTGTTTGGGAGAGGGGTGGGATTAAATTATGGGGTATCAAATTCAAAATGGGAATTGACAGTTACTTTTTGCTGATGATACTGTGCTTATGGGAGATTCTAAAGAAAAATTGCAAAGGTTAGTGGATGAGTTTGGGAATGTGTGTAAAGGTAGAAAGTTGAAAGTGAACATAGAAAAGAGTAAGGTGATGAGGGTGTCAAATGATTTAGATAAAGAAAAATTGGATATCAAATTGGGGAGGAGGAATATGGAAGAAGTGAATGTTTTCAGATACTTGGGAGTTGACGTGTCGGCGGATGGATTTATGAAGGATGAGGTTAATCATAGAATTGATGAGGGAAAAAAGGTGAGTGGTGCGTTGAGGTATATGTGGAGTCAAAAAACGTTATCTATGGAGGCAAAGAAGGGAATGTATGAAAGTATAGTAGTACCAACACTCTTATATGGGTGTGAAGCTTGGGTGGTAAATGCAGCAGCGAGGAGACGGTTGGAGGCAGTGGAGATGTCCTTTTTAAGGGCAATGTGTGGTGTAAATATTATGCAGAAAATTCGGAGTGTGGAAATTAGGAGAAGGTGTGGAGTTAATAAAAGTATTAGTCAGAGGGCAGAAGAGGGGTTGTTGAGGTGGTTTGGTCATTTAGAGAGAATGGATCAAAGTAGAATGACATGGAAAGCATATAAATCTATAGGGGAAGGAAGGCGGGGTAGGGGTCGTCCTCGAAAGGGTTGGAGAGAGGGGGTAAAGGAGGTTTTGTGGGTAAGGGGCTTGGACTTCCAGCAAGCGTGCGTGAGCGTGTTAGATAGGAGTGGAGACGAATGGTACTTGGGACCTGACGATCTGTTGGAGTGTGAGCAGGGTAATATTTAGTGAAGGGATTCAGGGAAACCGGTTATTTTCATATAGTCGGACTTGAGTCCTGGAAATGGGAAGTACAATGCCTGCACTTTAAAGGAGGGGTTTGGGATATTGGCAGTTTGGAGGGATATGTTGTGTATCTTTATATGTGTATGCTTCTAGACTGTTGTATTCTGAGCACCTCTGCAAAAACAGTGATAATGTGCGAGTGTGGTGAAAGTGTTGAATGATGATGAAAGTATTTTCTTTTTGGGGATTTTCTTTCTTTTTTGGGTCACCCTGCCTCGGGAGACGGCCGACTTGTTGAAAAAAAAAAAAAAAATATATATACAGTGGACCCCCGGTTAACGGTATTTTTTCACTCCATAAGTATGTTCAGGGGGGCCAGTATGACCGAATTTATTCCATAAGGAATATTGTGAAGTAGATTAGTCCATTTCAGACCCCCAAACATACACGTACAAACGCACTTACATAAATACACTTACATAATTGGTCGCATTCGGAGGTAATCGTTATGCGGGGGTCCACTGTATATATATATATATATGCTTGTATGTGTAGTGTGACCTAAGTGTAAGTAGAAGTAGCAAGACGTACCTGAAATGTTGCATGTTCATGATACAGAAAATGGACACAAACAATCCTACCATCATGTAAAACAATTACAGGCTTTCGTTTTACACTCACTTGGCAGGACAGTAGTACCTCCCTGGGCGGTTGCTGTCTACCAGCCTACTACCTAGGTGCTTCATTTATGTTGACAGATATTCTGGTTGGCTTCTTAATTTGTTCCACACATTCTCATTACTATTTCTTCCAGATTCTAGGTGCTGACCGAGTTTGTTATGGTTATGAACATTCAGAAGTTAATCCAGAAGAAAAAACCATGACGATGAGAACAAGAAATGTAAGTTTTGAATCCCACATTGTGTGCTCTCCTTGAGTAGATTGTGTACATCTCTTTCTATATAAAGTTCAGTTAAAGGCCTTTTATAATTTACCCCTGGCACCCCAGACTTACCTACTACACTCTCTACAACAGTTTCTCCCACACATGTATAAAATGAAAGTAACAGTGTGAGTCATACAAATACAGTAATAAAATGTTACAAAAGAAACTAATACTGTACAGTAATTACTGAGCAACCAGACAGGTGATATTGCTAGCCAAACCAGCAACTGGTTACTCCATAAGGGAGCAACATATTTACTGCCACAAGATCACTCGTCTCACAGCAACCTACTAGTGGGTGTTGACCCTTTTGGATTTACCACTTTCTTTCAACACACCGGCTGTATCCCACCGAGGCGGGGTGGCCCAAAAGGAAAAATGAAAGTTTCTCCTTTTACATTTAGTAATATATACAGGAGAAGGGGTTACTAGCCCCTTGCTCCTGGCATTTTAGTCGCTTCTTGCGACACGCATGGCTTACGGAGGAAGAATTCTGTTCCACTTCCCCATAGAGGAAGAAAACCCAGAGGGGTATATATATATATGCTTGTACATGTATGTGTAGTGTGACCCAAGTGTAAGTAGAAGTAGCAAGACGTACCTGAAATCTTGCACGTTTATGAAACAGAAAAAAGGACACCAGCAATCCTACCATCATGTAAAACAATTACAGGCTTTCGTTTTACACTCACTTGGCAGGACGGTAGTACCTCTCTGGGCGGTTGCTGTCTACCATCCTACTACCTACAATTTACCACTTACTTTGATTATAATAATAATAATAATAATAGGGCAACTTAAGGGTTGCCTTATACTTTGTCTGAGGCCATGCCAGATTTCAGGGTAATAAACTTGCAAACTATAATGCACATTCTGTAGTTATGGGCCCTTTCGATTTCCAGCAAGGAGTTGCCTTTTGACTGTTTTCTGATTATTCTGGTACCTGTGAGATAGCTGGCAGCATCATTGATCTGCATTATTGACTAACAAGATGTAATCAAACCCCAGTCATTTCTACTGACTATGATTCCCTCATTTTCTTGTGTGCCATTCAAAGCTGAATTAGACATGAGTTCAGCAACTTTCTACAAATATTGCATACAGTTCAGTAATAAATAATATGTTTCTCATAGTCTTTCTTAAGCCATTTTCATAGCCTTTGGGATTCTGAATTTAGGTAACTTGTCCACTTAGTGTTATAAATTTAATCATAGGGCCTAACTAATGTTCATGTAGTTCTCTAAATAAATTATTATAAGCCATTTATTATCTGGCCCTCTCGGGCAAAAAGGTGTTTAACTTTGCTTTATGATTACATCTTATGATCTCTTGTTGCACATTTCTTTTTAGCATTAGTATCTATTTAGGTGCAGGATCAAAGAAGTGCTGGATAATGTTACTATCTGAATAACAGTTGCTGGATAATGATGATCTATCACTCGTGTATAACAGTGAAAGGTGGTTGTGAGAACCCTAATGTGATACATACTTTAGCATATTGACAACTCGTAAATTTATTATATTTCACCCTTTTTCAGCTAACATTTTCCAACACGGTAAGCATGGATGAGCGCATGATATACTCTCCTGACCCCATAGACAATGAAAAGACCATCTTAAGGCAAGAGACTATTATTACTGTAAAAGGAGTCCCACTCACCTCCTACATGGAGAACTATCTTCTGAATAGCATTTCTACAAACTCTTTCAAGGTAAGTCTGTATATATACATTTTTTCCCCCAATACATGGCAGTCTCCTACCAAGGCAGGGTGATGCAAAAAAGAAACACTTTCACCATCATTCACACACAACCAGTCTTTGCAAAGGTGCTCAGATATGACAGTTTAAATGTCACTCCAAACATGCAATATCCCAAACCCCTTTAAAGTTTTAAAGTGCAGGCATTGTATACATATATCTGTAAATGAAATGCAGGTGAAATAGCCATGATTAGCTTAGATTTAAACCTGTGCATGAATGCTGGTGTGTGTTAGTACTGTAATAAAGCCTGGTCCAGTTGACTTGACACATAGTGAGATCTGATTCATTTGATACTAGTTATGGGCTATTTCATGTGCATACATAGGTATTTTTATTTAAATACTGGATTTATTAGAGAAATTTAGTGTCAGGGTCATGAAATGACTATATTATATAGTTTGCATCTGCAGTTAAATAAGTGTTATTGTGGAGGAAAGAAAAGCAACTATCATTTACCTTTTTATCTTGACTGAATTGATTTTCAGACATTCATGATAATGTACCATCACATTATGGTTTATAACACATTCCTGAGTTTTATCCTCTAATATATACAGTATCCCTATATTTAAGCTTTATGCATCATTCAGCGTGAACAATCTTATGCCTTCCTTATTTTCCTTAACTGTAATTCTTTAGGCAATTTTAAAAATCTCATATAACATTCATAGTTCATTTTATTGATTAAATGATAACACTGGTCTGCATTTGGAATGTCTTTAATTTTTATTTTTATTCATGGTTGTGATCCTGCATATTCTTGGGCTGCTGATTGTAAATATCTAAACCATTTTGCTCTATCATCTAAGGATTTTGAGTAAAATAGAATCAAATGAAATTATTTTATTAAACAAATATGCTTCTAATGGTTAGCCTACATATTGAATCAAAGGAAGGAGGACCGCTTTGATTTTCGCTTATGCTGTGCATTGAGACCATTACGTTTCAATGACCAGTAATCCACTATCATGCTGAAATTCCATTTGCCCTGGTATTGAGTCTCCATGGTGCAAATATCCTGATGGAACTGCTCTCCTTGTTCCTCACTGTAGTCCCTACAATTGTTGGGAAAATAGTCAAGATGTGAGTGCAAAAAGTGCATCTTCACACTCATTCTAGACCCAAGTTGTTGGAAATTTGAAATAAGGTCTTGGATCATTTTTTCATATTCGGGAAAGTTGTGGACAATCTGCTTGAATGAAAACCAGACATTCACCTCAACACCTGCTAATGCTTCATCAAAATGCTTGTCCTTCATCAGTTCCTGAATCTGAGGACCAACAAAGATTCCTGCCTTTAGCTTGCCTTCACTTATACAAGGAAACTTTTACTCCAGGTACTTGAAAGCAGTTCCATTCTTGTTCAAGGCCTTCACAAAATTTTTCATAAACCCTAATTTGATGTGGAATGGTGGCAGCAGAATTTTCTTGGGGTTAGCTAGTGGCACAGTTTTCAGGTTGTGATTTCCGGGTAAGAAGCTGGTTCTTGGTGGCCAATCTTTTTGTTCATAGTGCTGGCTGTCTGCCCTACTATCCCAAAGACACAGAAAACAAGGATACTTGGTGTATCTACCTTGAAGACCTAGTAGGAAAGCAATAGCTTTTAAATTGCCACAAATGAGAAAATTGTGATTCTGGTACTTGATTGCAGATATTAGTGTCTTCATATTTGCACAAGTTCCTTACATTTGGACACTATGGCCAGTTGATCTTCTTGTTGAATCCAGCTACTTCAGTCATACAAAAGTAGCAGTCATCATGGTGGTTCATCTGCTCCTGCCATACCATTGGACTCCAAACGGCATACATTTAAGTTTTCCACTGACCACATTTCGAGCTTACTGATGCAACTCTTACAAGCTTTGGGTGGTGCAAATGGTTTGTCCTGGTCACCAAGTTTGCAGCGAAAATAAACAAAGTAGCAGCGCTTCAATAAAGGAGTAATGTTGCTCCGAGAATCTGAAGGGGTGAATTGCCTGCAGACATAGCAAAATGTGTCTGGTGAATTTATGCAGCCTCTAGACATATTAATAATCTGAAAATAAAGGAGAGTAGATTTAACACTTAAGTCAATACAGGGTAAGTATTTTAATTGGTAATATACCACCTTCTCATTTACTTATGTTATACAAAATGAGAAAAGTAACGTTTCCGTATAATTTGACAACCTGATGTGATAAGAGTTGAATAAAAAACACATTGAATCACTATTTTCCATATACATACCGAAAAAGATACTATAGTCAAAAAAAAATCAAGCAGACCAGTGTTGTTACTGTTGTGAGGTACCATAATGTCTTAAATTTCCTAAGAGCCAGTTCCATTTTTTACTCACCAGTCAGTCAGGTTCTTGTTACTACATAGACATAATCAGCAGGCAAATTTGAGCATATAATATTATATAAACCTAGGTAATTGGTTGGTAGACAGCAACCACCCAGGGAGGTACTACTGTCCTACCAGTTAAGTGTGAAATGGAGAAGTAGAACAGAATTCTTCCTCTATAAGCCATGCATGTCATAAGAGGCATCTAATATTGCTGGGAGTAAGGGGCTAGTAACCCCTTCTGTATATTTTACTAAATTTAAAAAGAGAAACTTTCATTTTTCTTTTTCTTGGTGGGGTACTGCTAGTTTGTTGGAAAAAAAAATTATGTAAGCTACCTGCTGTGAGTGGGAAAAGATGTTTGCATCATTTACATGAATATCTCTACATTGCTGTTTGTGAGCAGATGATGAGTTTTTTTTTTTTTTCTCAGGTCACACTGCGTTGGTGGGAAACAGTGGATGTGTTAGGGAAAAAGTGCATAATTTTTAACTACCATACTTTAATAGTAAATATGTTTGTTCATTGAATATTTGTGGGTACGTTTATTTATCTTATAATTTAAACAAAACCAAGCAAATTTGATAGCAACATATGCATAGCATTTTCTAATTGACTTGTGTGGGCTTTTAAGCAAGATGTCGCAGAAGGTTTAATAAGGCAGTGTAATTACCAGTTGGTAGATGCAGGAGCAGAACTTAGCTAATTGTCTACATTTTTTTTTCCTCTCCTTTTAGCCAATGATGGCAGGCCTATTGCTTTCACCATTAATTTATAATTTTTTTTTTACGTCTAATTCTTCTTTCAACGCACCAGCCATATCCCACCGAAGCAGGGTGGCCCAAGATAAAAAACAAAAGTTTCTTGTTTAAATTTAGTAATGTATACAGGAGAAGGGGCTACTAGCTCCTTGCTCCCAGCATTTTAGTCGCCTCTTATGACACGCATGGCTTATGGAGGAAGAAGTCTGTTCCACTTCCCCATAGAGATTAGAAAAAATAAACAAGAATAAGAACTAGCAAGAAAATGAAAGAAAACCCAGAGGGGTGTGTGTGTATATATATATGCTTGTACATGCATGTGTAGTGTGACCTAAGTGTACCTGGAGTTTACCTGGAGAGGGTTTCAGGGGTCAACACCTCCTCAGCTCAGTCTGAGACCAGGCCTCATGATGGATCAGGGTCTGATCAACCAGGCTGCTACTGCTGGCTGCATGCAAACTGATGTATGACCCACAGCCTGGGTGGTCAGATACTGACTTTAGGTGCCTGTCTAGTGCCTTCTTGAAGACAGCCAGGGGTTAGTAATCCCCCTTATGTATTCTGGGAAGCAGTTGAACAGTCTTGGGCCCGGACACTTGTTGTGTTGTCTCTCAGTGTACTCGTGGAGCCGCTGCTTTTCATTGGGGGAATGTTGCATCTCCTTTCGAGTCTTTTGCTTTTGTAGGGAGTGATTTTCGTGTGCAAGTTTGGTATTAATCCCTCTAGGTTTTTCCAAGTGTATATTATCATGTATCTTTCTTGCCTGCATTCCAGGGAATACAAATCAAGGGTCTTCAACTATTCCCAGTAATTTAGGTGCCTTATTGTACTTGTGTATGCCATGAAAGTTCTTTGTACACCCTCCAGGACAGCAATTTTGCCTGTCTTGAAGAGGGGCAGTTAGTGTACAGCAGTGTTCCAGCCTAGAGAGAACAAGCGATTTGAAGAGAATAATGGGCTTGGTGTCCCTAGTATTGAAGGTTCTCATTATCCATCTTATAATTTTCCTAGCAGATGCAGTAGATACATTGTTGTGGTCTTTGAAGGCAAGATCCTCTGACATTATCACTTCCAGGTCCTTCACATTACTTTTTTGCTCTACTGTATGGTTAGAATTTGTCATATACCCTGATACAGTTTTAATTTCCTCATATCTGAGTAGTTGAAATTTCTCTTCATTGAACTTCATATTGTTTTGAGTGGCCCATTTGAATATTTGGTTGATGACTGCTTAGAGTCTTGCGGTGTCTTTGATGGAGGTCACTGTCATGGCAACCCAGGAGCTATGTCTTAAATCTCTATCTATGTCAGATATCAGGATGAGGAATAGAATGGGAGTGAGTACTGTGCCTTGTGGAACAGAGCTTTTCACCATAGCTGCCTCAGACTTTACTCTGTTTACTATTACTCTGTGTTCTATTTTGAGGTAGTAGGTTGGTAGACAGCAACCACCCTGGGAAGTACTACCGTCCTGCCAGATGACTGTTAAACAGAAACCTGTAACTGTTTTACATGATGGTAGGATTGCTGGTGTCTTTCTCTGTCTCATAAACACGCTAGATAACAAGGATATCTTGCTACTCCTACTTACACTTTGGTCACACTTCACAGACACATACATGCATATATATATATATACATACATACATCTAGGTTTTTCTCCTTTTTCTAAATAGCTCTTGTTCTTCTTTATTTCTTCTATTGTCCATGGGGAAGTGGAAAAGAATCTTTCCTCTGTAAGCCAGGCGTGTCGTATAAGGCGACTAAAATGCCGGGAGCAATGGGCTAGTAATCCTTTCTCCTGTAAACATTTACTAAAAAGGAGAAGAAGAAAAACTTTATAAAACTGGGATGCTTGAATGTGCATGGATGTAGTGCAGATGACAAGAAACAGATGATTGCTGATGTTATGAATGAAAAGAAGTTGGATGTCCTGGCCCTAAGCGAAACAAAGCTGAAGGGGGGAGGGGAGTTTCAGTGGGGGGAAATAAATGGGATTAAATCTGGAGTATCTGAGAGAGTTAGAGCTAAGGAAGGGGTAGCAATAATGTTGGAGGATCAGTTATGGAAGGAGAAACGAGAATATGAATGTGTAAATTCAAGGATTATGTGGATTAAAGTAAAGGTTGGATGCGAAAAGTGGGTCATAATAAGTGTGTATGTACCTGGAGAAGAGAGGAATGTAGAGGAGAGAGAGATTTTGGGAGATGTTAAGTGAATGTATAGGAACCTTTAAACCAAGTGAGAGAGTAATTGTGGTAGGGGACCTGAATGCTAAAGTAGGAGAAACTTTTAGAGAGGGTGTGGTAGGTAAGTTTGGGGTGCCAGGTGTAAATGATAATGGGAGCCCTTTGATTGAACTTTGTATAGAAAGGGGTTTAGTTATAGGTAATACATATTTTAAGAAAAAGAGGATAAATAAGTATACAAGATATGATGTAGGGCGAAATGACAGTAGTTTGTTGGATTATGTATTGGTAGATAAGACTGTTGAGTAGACTTCAGGATGTACATGTTTATAGAGGGGCCACAGATATATCAGATCACTTTCTAGTTGTAGCTACACTGAGAGTAAAAGGTAGATGGGATACAAGGAGAACAGAAGCATCAGGGAAGAGAGAGGTGAAGGTTTATAAACTAAAAGAGGAGGCAGTTAGGGTAAGATATAAACAGATATTGGAGGATAAATGGGCTAATGAGAGCATAGGCAATGGGGTCGAAGAGGTATGGGGTAGGTTTAAAAATGTAGTGTTAGTGTTCAGCAGAAGTTTGTGGTTACAGGAAAGTGGGTGCGGGAGGGAAGAGGAGCGATTGGTGGAATGATTATGTAAAGAGAGTAGTAAGGGAGAAAAAGTTAGCATATGAGAAGTTTTTACAAAGTAGAAGTGATGCAAGGAGGGAAGAGTATATGGAGAAAAAGAGAGAGGTTAAGAGAGTGGTGAAGCAATGTAAAAAGAGAGCAAATGAGAGAGTGGGTGAGATGTTATCAACAAATTTTGTTGAAAATAAGAAAAAGTTTTGGAGTGAGATTAACAAGTTGAGGAAGCCTAGAGAACGAATGGATTTGTCAGTTAAAAATAGGAGAGGAGAGATATTAAATGGAGAGTTAGAGGTATTGGGAAGATGGAGGGAATATTTTGAGGAATTGTTAAATGTTGATGAAGATAGGGAAGCTGTGATTTCATGTATAGGGCAAGGAGGAATAACATCTTGTTGGAGTGAGGAAGAGTCAGTTGTGAGTGTGGGGGAAGTTCGTGAGGCAGTAGGTAAAATGAAAGGGGGTAAGGGAGCTGGGATTGATGGGATAAAGATAGAAATGTTAAAAGCAAGTGGGGATATAGTTTTGGAATGGTTGGTGCTATTATTTAATAAATGTATGGAAGAGGGTAAGGTACCTAGGGATTGGCAGAGAGCATGCGTAGTTCCTTTGTATAAAGGCAAAGGGGACAAAAGAGAGTGCAAAAATTATAGGGGGATAAGTCTGTTGAGTATACCTGGTAAAGTGTATGGTAGAGTTATTATTGAAAGAATTAAGAGTAAGATGGAGAATAGGATAGCAGATGAACAAGGAAGCTTTAGGAAAGGTAGGGGGTGTGTGGACCAGGTGTTTACAGTGAAACGTATAAGTGAACAGTATTTAGATAAGGCTAAAGAGGTTTTTGTGGCATTTATGGATTTGGAAAAGGCATATGACAGGGTGGATAAGGGGGCAGTGTGGCAGATGTTGCAGGTGTATGGTATAGGAGGTAGGTTACTGAAAGCAGTGAAGAGTTTTTACGAGGATAGTGAGGCTCAAGTTAAGAGTATGTAGGAAAGAGGGAGATTATTTCCCAGTAAAAGTAGGCCTTAGACAAGGATGTGTAATGTCACGATGGTTGTTTAATATATTTATAGATGGGGTTGTAAGAGAAGTAAATGCGAGGGTCTTGGCAAGAGGCATGGAGTTAAAAGATAAAGAATCACACATAAAGTGGGAGTTGTCACAGTTGCTCTTTGCTGATGACACTGTACTCTTGGGAGATTCTGAAGAGAAGTTGCAGAGGTTGGTGGATGAATTTGGTGAATACAGGAAAGAGTAAGGTTATGAGGATAACAAAAAGATTGGGTGATGAACAATTGGATATCAGATTGGAGGGAGAGAGTGAGGAGGTGAATGTATTCAGATATTTGGGAGTGGACGTTACAGAGGATGTTTCTATGAAAGATGAGGTGAATCATAGAATTGATGAGGGGAAAAGGGTAAGCGGTGCACTTAGGAGTCTGTGGAGACAAAGAACTTTGTCCTTGGAGGCAAAGAGGGGAATGTATGAGAATATAGTTTTACCAATGCTCTTATATGGATGTGAAGCATGGGTGATGAATGTTGCAGCGAGGAGAAGGCTGGAGGCAGCGGAGATGTCATGTCTGAGGGCAATGTGTGGTGTGAATATAATGCAGAGAATTCGTAGTTTGGAAGTTAGGAGGAGGTGCGGGATTGCCAAAACTGTTGTCCAGAGGGCTGAGGAAGGGTTGTTGAGGTGGTTCGGACATGTAGAGAGAATGGAGCGAAACAGAATGACTTCAAGAGTGTATCAGTCTGTAGTGGACGGAAGGCGGGGTAGGGGTCGGCCTAGGAAAGGTTGGAGGGAGGGGGTAAAGGAGGTTTTGTGTGCGAGGGGCTTGGACTTCCAGCAGGCATGCGTGAGCGTGTTTGATAGGAGTGAAAGGAGACAAATGGTTTTTAATACTTGACGTGCTGTTGGAGTGTGAGCAAAGTAACATTTATGAAGGGATTCAGGGAACCCAGCAGGCCGGACTTGAGTCCTGGAGATGGGAAGTACAGTGCCTGCACTCTGAAGGAGGGGTGTTAATGTTGCAGTTTAAAAACTGTAGTGTAAAGCACCCTTCTGGGAAGACAGTGATGGAGTGAATGATGGTGAAAGTTTTTCTTTTTCGGGCCACTGCCTTGGTGGGAATCGGCCAGTGTGCTAATAAAAAAAAAATGTTAGGAAGTTATAGATTCATCTACCAACTTTTCCTGTTATTCCTTTATCACACATTTTGTGCTCTACTTCACCATGGTCACACTTGTCGAAAGCTTTTGCAAAGTCTGTGTATACTACATCTATATTTTGTTTATCCTTTACAGCATCCAGGAGCTTGCCATAGTGGTCCAGTAGCTGGGACAGGCAGGAGTGACCTGCTCTATACCCGTGTTGCCCTGGGTTATGTAATTCATGGGTATCTAGATGGTTGGCAATCTTGCTTCATAGAACTCTTTCAAAGATTTTTATGGTACGGGATGTTAGTGCTATCGGTCTTGTGGTGTTAGGATAGTATCAGAGATTTTTGAGATGACCATATTTTGGGTCTCGTTCATAAAGAATTCATTTGGATTGTCAGTCCTTACTCTGAGCAGCGGCTCGCTGAACGCTGAGTCGTATTGGGACTTTAGCATCTCGCTCATTTCTTGGCTGAGCAGGGGCCCAATACTGGATGTTGTTTTTTCCTTGGATTTGGCATAAGAGAAGAAGTATTTTGGGTTGAAGTAGCAAAATGCACCTGAAATCGTGCAGAAAAAAGACACCAGCAATCCTACCATCATGTAAAACAATTACAGGCTTCTGTTTTACACTCGCTCATCAGGACAGTACTGCCTCCCTCGGTGGTTGCTGTCTATCAACCTACTACCTAGGTTTATCTCTGATTATATACATTTACAGAATTGAGTCCTGGAAATGGAAGTACAATGCCTGCACTTTAAAGGAGGGGTTTGGGATATTGGCAGTTTGGAGGGATATCTAAACTGTCGTATCTGAGTGCCTCTGCAAAGACAATAATTATGTATGAGTGATGGTGAAAGTGTTGAATGATGATTATAGTTTTTTCTCTCTTTTTTGAGTTCTTTCTTTTTGAGTCACCCTGCCTTGGTGGGAAATGGCCAACATTTTAAAAAAATTTTTTACAGGTTTGCATGTCAGTCCTGCATTTTGTGTATAATTTGTCATATAGCAGAGTTTTTGTAAAGTTTCCCTTGGATCCCATTCCAGCAGTTTGCTGCACTCTCTTTGTGAAGAAATAATTTCTAGTATAATTATGAATTTTCTTCAGTAATTTAAATTGCTTTCAAGAATTCAAGCCTTGAAGCTAAATATGAGCATATATATCCCCAAATCTTTATTCTGGTTTGGGTTTAATGTACCCACTGGTAAGCATTGAGTAAATGTTACATCAGTAAGCTTGCTAAAAGACAAAGTAAAATTATACATATTATACACCTACCATCTTACTTACGACCTGCTCGACATACGACCACTCATACTTATGACCTGCTCGACATACGACCACTCATACTTATGACCGTACTGTTTGCAGCTTAGCTTAAGCTATTTTGATCATGCATACGAATGTTTTCGTATGTTTTCATGCATACGAGTGCTTTGTATGCAAGTAAACAACTGTTTGTGTTGGACTTGCGTCCATTTTGACTTACGACCAGTTCGTTGGAACCAAGCTCGGTTGTAAGTCGGATGGTAGGTGTACTGTATATATGTATAGGTAGATATAGTAAACAAAAATTTCTCGTTTATACCACAGGGCCGTGATGCAATGGAATTCGTTATCTCCAAAATCAACAGAGAAGTCGAAGAACTTATGTCCACCTATAAGCGTAGTACAAATGAAATATTCTCTCATACTAAACGTTCCATTGAGGAAATCACAGAATCAGCTCTTCGTTCTGTTGATGACATATCTTTAGTGGCAAAGAAATCAGTTGATGAATTGTCAGATGTTGCTAAGAAATCAATTGATGACTTTTCATCTGCAGCCAAGAAGGGAATTGGTAGCTTCACTCAGCCAACAGGATCCATGCCAAGAATATGATAGCAAGAGATATCTAGGATTTATTTCAATTGTAGTATAAAAGTTTCTGGTTCTGAAGACAGTGAAGTGTCTGAAAAGAAAAAGGAAGTAAAAAATAGGCGTTAGTAAATACTATAGCCTTTGTGGAACAGTACAGGTTGATTGAAGGGAATATTAATAGTACATTAATGTATAGTGTATTATTACTGTTTAGGCTGTTAATGAAATGCTCATTATACAAGAAGATTTTATAATTTATAAACCAAATTCTCTCGAATGTAATGTACCCAGTAACAAATGGGGTTTCTTCATGTTGAAGATATGCTTTATTATACCCTTAACTGGAATTTCTGGGTGGTAAGTGATGTAAAGATATGGAGTATTGGGATTGACAAAATTATGTTGCTTATTACATTATCGTGTTCCTGTACTTGTTACCATGGGATTTAATATGTAAATAACAAGCTTGCATTAGAGAGGCATTAAGCAGGGTAAGTGACAGGCTTGTTGTACTGGAGAGAGAAATGTTTTGTGACAGAGAGAAGATTCCATGTAAGGTGGTTCATATTCTCTTAGGGTCCATTCACATGAAGTATTCAGCACTGTCATTTGCAGCATTTAAGTTAATCCCAGACCAGGCCATAAATTGTGGTTATAAGCCTTAATATTTTAATTTATTCAGTAAATATTTCATTTATATTTATAAAATATTCCAGTTGATATTAAGGTACAAAATTTTTAGAGTTCTGTAGCTAAAATTGTTGAAAGTATGCAATGTTAATTGTGTACTGTACCTTGGATTGCATTTTGTGAATTTTGCTATTAACTTCCTTGAAATTAACAGCTATTTTTTACATGATAAGTGCTGATATTCTCCATCTACTTTTTCCACTACCTAAAGGATATTTGATGTAGTTTTTGAGTTTATCACACACAATTATCTATTTTTTGTGTTATTAGTCCCGAGAAGTTCAGTACAATGCTCAGAGTATCATGTGCACACATATATAGATGCTCCACTTGTTCAGGAAGATTTGTTAGTTGTTAAGACACCCAGTAATTTTAAATCAATTAAAGGCATGGCTCAAGCACATTTAATTGCTTCATTTATGTGATAGCCAGATTAGCATGTAGAGTTACAAACAATGTTTCAGGTGTGCCTTCTAAAGTTTTAACACTTGAAGACATTTGAAATGTTGGAATCTGCATATTGCCACTGCCTAGGATGGGGAGTTCCCAGAGGAATCCCTTCATTGGGAGGATGGGGAATGCCTTGATCCTTGATGCTGGTGAAAGGATCTCACTATTAAGGAATTGGAACTACCCTCCCCTTGAATCAAACCTGATTACCTCTCATTTCCTAGGCACTGTATGACCTCTAGGGGTTTAGTGCTTCCCCTTGAATATAATTATCCTAGAGGGAGCAAGACATCTAAGATATTACTGTATATTTGTATAAATAAGCAGTTTTGTGAAATGAAAGTTGGAATGTAAGAGCACATACATTTGCCATATGTTGTACATAGGAAAAGTAGGGTCCACCTCTTAGTGTGATTACTGTACTTTTACATGTGATAAGTTATGAGCATGAACCCAAGGATGTACAGTGCATCCTATTGCCAGCAGTATTGAAAACTTATAAGCCAAATAAAATGTATATCATAAATTATCATTTATGCTGCAGTTCCACTTCATTGAATGTTTTTATTCGTGCAAGATTTTGTATAGTATTTATTTTATTAAAAAATTGTTTTGCTTATTTAAAAGGTGTCAGCAATGAGCACAGCAGAAATATTAAATGGATTTTATTTACTGTACTATATTATCTTTTCTTCACCTTACCTAGTCTTAAATGTAATAAAAAAGCAAATCAAATTAGAGGTGGTAGATGGTGCAGAGATGTAAAAGGAGCAACAAAAGTAGGGTACACAAGGCACTGAGAATGAAAGACACAATACAAGAATACAACAGTCATTGTAGTAAACTGACAATACACGAAAGTTGTAGCATCAGCATTAAGTGTGATTTTTCAGTATAGACAGTAAATAGCAACACGGTGGCTTCTTGAAGGCATAACCTCTTTTTTTTTTTTTCTCTCCAAACTTTTCCTTGTGAGGGGTGGCCATGGCCTCTGAAAATTAATCAGGCACTATATAATCTCTGGATTGAGCATTTTTTTCATGAATGTGCTAATAATCTTATCTTAAAAGCACTGTCCTGATGTATATGTTATCAATGGTGATCATATATTCCTTGATTATGCTCTCCTGGGCTGTATAGCCCTTGTGGCTTAGCACTTCTTTTTGATTATAATAATAATATGCTCTCCTGGACTGACCCTATGGATATAGTTGTATGCCCCTTGTCAGTTTAGTGCTTTTCCCATGTATATATGTATATATTACAGTATAACAATATTCTGCTCAGTTCAATTATTGAACCAGTGGTTTGGTAAGCTGGGCTCTGGTGGTACCCTTTCTTCTATATCTTCGGGTAGATCACTCAGAATCTTTGGTCTTAGGAAGTCCTTGTATATGAAATGTCAGACTATGTTGGAGGGACATCCTGTGGATCCTATGGGAAGGTGTGCTGATGTTGTAGTCAGTAATATTAGTTGGCTGGGGTAGGTTTTCTGTCTGGTATACAAAGTTCTTGCATGGTATATAGTTGTCACTTTTTTAGTTTACCTATCTTAAGATTTATTGCGTCCGTTGGTTGGATGTGCAGATCTTCCATTCTGATTCTATCCCTCAGTCTGGTGCCTGTGACAAAGTGGAGTGCCTTGTTCTGGACTCTGCAGCTGTAATATGTTTTTTGTTGTTAGCGACATGGACACACAAGGATATTTAAATGAAGGTTTTATCATCTTGTATAGCTGTTTCTCTTGATAGAGTGAGGGCCTGATTAAATCTGTATAGCTGGCTGAGGCAAACTTTTGCTAAGTTTACCTTTTGGTGATGAAGAGTGTAGTCAGTCCATCTCGTAGCTCAGGATCTTATTCAGGTTTTTCATGGTGCAAGCGTGCGTGAGCGTGTTAGATAGGAGTGAATGGAGACGAATGGTACTTGGGACCTGACGATCTGTTGGAGTGTGAGCAGGGTAATATTTAGTGAAGGGATTCAAGGAAACCGGTTATTTTCATATAGTTGGACTTGAGTCCTGGAAATGGGAAGTACAATGCCTGCACTTTAAAGGAGGGGTTTGGGATATTGGCAGTTTGGAGGGATATGTTGTATATCTTTATACATATATGCTTCTAAACTGTTGTATTCTGAGCACCTCTGCAAAAACAGTGATAATGTGAGAGTGTGGTGAAAGTGTTGAATGATGATGAATATTTTCTTTTTGGGGATTTTCTTTCTTTTTTTTGGGTCACCCTGCCTCGGTGGGAGACGGCCGACTTGTTGGAGAAAAAAAAAAAAGGGTATACCTCTGATAGAAATACCTTTATTTTCAGTTGTTGTGGCATAACATTCGATAGTGTTGATGAGGACCTTATCAGGATTGGTTGTGATTCTCCATTTCTTCTCTCAGTTGGCTGTTCTTTGCAATTCCACATTCATTTTATCTATCGCCCTCTCATGCCTGTTTTTCCCGATGCAGTAGATGAAACTACATGGATAACATCGTCAACAAATTGGGTAATAATGGTGTCATTGTATTCTCGTTGGGGAAGATCGTATACATATACAACATTGAATAGGATAGGGCTTGAGCACGATTCCTGTGGCACTCCAAATGTTGGTGTGAATGACTCTGCTATCTTACAGTAGAAGGTGGGGATGATGATGCTTGTTAAGAAGTTATATGTAAGTGAAAAAGGTCCAGTTATGATTTGGGAGGCCAGCAAGCTTGAATATGAGGCCATCGTGCCACAGGCTGTCAAAAGCTTTGCGTACATCCCTAGTTGCAATTGGGGCAAGATTGCCCTGTTGACATAGGCTGTCAACAGCATCGAAAATCATATTGATGGAGTGTTGGGTTCCTCTGTGGTTCCTAAACCCCTCATGGAAGGTTCCTTGATGTTGGTGAGGGGCTCTTGATTTAGGGAATTGGAACTGTGCTCCAGTTCCCCGAATTAAGCCTGAATGCCTTCCACATCCCCCCCCCGGGCGCTGTATAATCCTACGGGTTTAGCGCTTCCCCTTTGATTATAATAATAATAATGTGGTTCCTAAAACTAAACTGCTTTTCAGTGAAGAGGCAATTGAACTCTTATGTAATAGTTCAGCCTATTAGAGATAATTTTTTTGAAGATTTTGCCAGTGACTTTGAGTAAGGAAATGGGTCTGTAGTTCTCTGACTTATATTTATCTTTATTGGATTTTACAATAAACATCATCCTTGCTCTTTTAAGTGCCACAGGGAAGTATTCAGAGGCCAGAATGTCATTATAGATATTTACCCAAGCCATCTTGCAGTTTTGGGGTAGGCCCTTGATTGGCTTTGCTGTTATGCTTGAGAGGCCAGGGGGCTTTATTACTCATTCTGCTTATGGCTTGGTACGTCTTTGCAAGGAATGGGTCTAGTTAGGGGGTGGTCATCTTTGAGAGTTATATCAATTGATGATTGGTTGGAAGTCTACCAGACTGTCATCTCTTCATTGGTTTACCCACTGGTAATAGTCATTGTTGTATCTTGTGCTATAATTGTGAGAGAGAATTTTCTCCCACGCTTCTCCCATCACATTAGTTTGATCTTGCTGGTCATCTAGTTTAATAGTTACTTTCTCATCATCTTCAGTGAAGGAGTGAGTTAGGTATTGTGTAGGCCTGGGCTTTGCCCCCAGGAGTTGGCTAATCTTACTCCATAACTGCTCAGGACGGTCTTTGTGTGGGTTGGCATGTAGGAGAAGATATTTCCATGTCTCAATTTTGTGCTGGGTGATTAGATTGATTAAATCTTGCCTCATCCCTTTCAGAATTCCACATGTGGGCTAGCCCATCTGGTAGTGCCTACTACATTGCTTGGTAATTTTTCCTGTTATCCCCAATTTCCTCGGTTGGTTTGTATTGTTATGTCTTGGATAATGATAGTTCACAGCATGTTTGGGTAGCATCTGAGATTCTATCATGGGGGGAGCTGATTTCTTGTCTATTGCATTTGAGGGCTGGTTCTTTAGCAAAACAGTGGAGTCATTACCTAGGTAGCCCCTGAAGGGGTCAAAGCCTAGGATTTTTAGGTTGAGTTTTGGTGTAACAGGTGTCCAGAATGGTGAAGACTGAAGCTTTATTATGACAGGAATGTGGTCTGATCTGACATATTCCAGGGGAGAGACTACAGTGAAATACGTCACAGTCCCTGTTGGTAAGGACTACATCGGGTGTCCCCGGATGAGGGCCTACATATGACTTGAAGAATGGGCCTTGGAATGATAGATTTTGTGCTGACATTAGATCTGAGCAGCTTGGCAGTGCCACAGTTGAAGAGAGATGGGCGATGGGCATTAAAATCCTCTGCGAATTTCCTTTCTAATAACACTGTTTTAATTTATGTACAATAGTTATATTCTGTGTATCCAGCAAGCCTAATCATATACAGTCCACACAATTTTAATTTACCAGAGTAGTTGGTTTTAATCTTATAATTATTAATTTAATGTTAGGTCTAGCTTTTTTGTGGGATTGGTAGGGAGTGGGCATTGAGGGAGTGGCAGTTTGGCGACTTAGTGTGACTCTGTCCCACTTTTTTTTTTTTTTTCAACAAGTCGGCCGTCTCCCACCGAGGCAGGGTGACCCAAAAAAAGAAAGAAAATCCCCAAAAAGAAAATACTTTCATCATCATTCAACACTTTCACCTCACTCACACATAGCCACTGTTTTTGCAGAGGTGCTCAGAACACAACAGTTTAGAAGCATATACGTAAGAAGATACACAACATATCCCTCCAAACTGCTAATATCCCAAAACCCCTCCTTGAGAGTGCAGGCATTATACTTCCCATTTCCAGGACTCAAGTCCAGCTATATAAAAATAACCGGTTTCCCTGAATCCCTTCACTAAATATTACCCTGCTCACACTCAAACAGATCGTCAGGTCCCAAATACCATTTCTCTCCATTTACTCCTATCGAACACGCTCATGCACGCCTGCTGGAAGTCCAAGCCCCTCGCCCATAAAACCTCCCTTACCCCTTCCTTCCAACCTTTTCGAGGACGACCCCTACCCCGTCTTCCTTCTACCGATTTAAATGCTCTCCATGTCATTCTACTTTGATCCATTCTCTCTAAATGACCAAACCACCTCAACAACCCCTCTTCAGCCCTCTGACTAATACTTTTATTAACTCCACACCTTCTCCTAATTTCCACACTCCTAATTTTCTGCATAATACTTACACCACGCATTGCCCTTAGACAGGACATCTCCACTGCCTCCAACCATCTCCTCGCTGCTGCATTCACAACCCAAGCTTCACACCCATATAAGAGTGTTGGTACTACTATACTTTCATACATTACCTTCTTTGCCTCCATAGATAGCATTTTTTGACTCCACATACACCTCAACGCACCACTCACCTTTTTTCCCTCATCAATTCTATGATTAATCTCATCCTTCATAAATCCATCCACCAACACGTCAACTCCCAAGTATCTGAAATCATTCACTTCTTCCATACTCCTCCTTCCCAATTTGATATCCAAGTTTTCTTTATCTAAATCATTTGATACCCTCATCACCTTACTCTTTTCTATGTTCACTTTCAACTTTCTACCTTTACACACTCCCAAACTCATCCATTAACCTTTGCAATTTTTCTTTAGAATCTCCCATAAGCACAGTATCATCAGCAAAAAGTAACTGTGTCAATTCCCA